GGTTAGCAAATTTTGCAGCACTTTTAGGGATGTCTATTTCTCCGTCTCCGGCAGCTGTACTGTTCTCTTCTTGTGCTCTTGGACATCCTTATTTGATGGTAAATACTGTTTGTAAGGGTTTTGCATGTTACCAACTGATAAAAGGAGGATGTGTTTTTACAAATTATTTTACCTTTATTCATTTTCATGGCGATNAGTCATGTTTAGTGGTTATGAACCGTGTATATACAGGTTTAACTTTTTTGGGATACTATTTTTAGAAGAAATTCTATCTAAACATTCCCGGGCATTTAGCTGTTGAGGTTGGCTACCATTGTATTGCTTCAGAGTGGTTTTGTTTTTTGGCATATGTTTGCTATCTTTTAGAAACTTGGTGGTGGTAATGTCTTCCATGTAATGCTACTTGAGAAATTTTTTTTTCTTATTAATTATTTGGGACTCTTGNATCAACCAGAATGGACATCAAGTGTTAGTTGGAATGCCTAAGAGAAATAATGTATGCTCCACCATTCTTTTTTCTTTTGATCGGTATGAATTTACTGTGTACCCATTTTTTATAGATATAATGTGTTGAAATTATGTTTCAATTAAAGTTGTGTTGAGTTTTATTGAAATTGAGGTATTGTGTGGATTTAGAATTGCATTTCTTTTGCTTTAACTAGAGCTCATATCACAACTTTCAAGCTAGAGAATACTTTTTATTTTGAGGAAGACAATAAATTTGAAAGACTCAACTTGGATTTGTATTGATTGCTATTATTCTTTTGCTTGAAAATTGTACATAAATACATATACATTGGATTGAGAATATGTTATTCTAGAATTGAAATTAGAGTACTGAATTGAATTTAGTTTTTTAGTCAATTGCTTAGACTTTTTATACTTTAGGCTTTTTTGCTTTTTATAAATTGAATGTAATTGGTAATCCCGTTTTGTCTTTACTTCATTTGTATGTTGTTATGGAATTCATTTATGTTGTGGCAGTAATTGATAAATGATTTCATTGTGATATGACTATGGCATGATTGTGAGTCCTATTTGGTGGTTATGAACCGTGTATATACAGGTTTAACTTTTTTGGGATACTATTTTTAGAGGAAATTCTATCTAAACATTCCCGTGCATTTAGCTGTTGAGGTTGGCTACCATTGTATTGCTTCAGAGTGGTTTTGTTTTTTGGCATATGTTTGCTATCTTTTAGAAACTTGGTGGTGGTAATGTCTTCCATGTAATGCTACTTGAGAAATTTTTTTTTCTTATTAATTATTTGGGACTCTTGAAGATATTGTCAAATTTNTATCTCAGTCAAGCACTCTTCCCCAAATTTCACTCCTCTCTCCTTCCTTCTCACCTGACCGTTAACCCCTCTCTCTGATCTATCTTTCTCTCTTCTTTGTTTGTCCAAACAGTAACCCACCACAGCTCNTTAATTATTTGGGACTCTTGAAGATATTGTCAAATTTAATTGCCAGACATGAATGTAGTCTCTATTTGTCCACCAATCTATTTGTTTTTCCATGCATTCATAAACTACACCTTATTGAGATATTTTGTTATTAGGTTAGGTACAATTTGCACCGAGTTTTGTTAGTAGGTTTAATTTGATGTATTTTTGGGATTCTTGAGTGTATTTCTTTTGCTTGAATTGATTATTTGGTGGACAAACATTTGGAGCATAATGTTTGCATATCTTTTGATTCCAAATAATTAGGCGAAGTTCTTATTATTCTTTTTCACAAAATTTTAATCTATTCCAGGGGCAGATAAATGTTACTTTATCAGTTGTCTTAAGAGTTTCAACATCGCACTCATGCTTGGCAAAGTTTGAATGGTACCTTAGTGAATTTTCTATGGTTTGATTTTTGTCAACACTTTTCCCAACACTTTTTCTAATTTTTTTTTATTTCAGGTTTAGTTAAAGGCATTGAACATTACAACAGTGAGCACAAAGATTTTCTCAATATTGGCTACAACATATTCCTATTGGTAATTACTTCTTCAATTAAATTTCAGCTTTTTGATAGTCTATTTTTGCAAATTGATAATCATAGTACCAAGACGTTTACAAAGTGAATGATGTCTTATAACTTTTATATGTGCGATGACTTTAATTATCATGGATTTTATGATTTTACAGTGTGAATTTGAATATATGCGATTTAGATATTATAAATCTTTTATTTTTATTTGAGGGGTGATTTAATGAGTATATAATTTGAATAACGTTGGCATGACGTAGTGGTAGTGGCAGTGGCATATTTTTTAACTTACTTGATTTCATAGTCTACATAGGTTCACTTGCTCATTTGCTCATGCACCCACTTTTTATGTCTCAGATAGACCTATATCACATTTTTCTTTTTAGTTAGTTTTAAATTTTTTTGTTAGCATTTTTTTTTGTAGAAATATTTGAGAGGGAAGAAGACTTTGATAAAGAGAGTACTTTAGAGAATAATACGTTGTTCATTTTTTTTTCCCGGTATGTACATTGTTCATGTTTTTTTTTTTCCCGTTATATACATTGTTCATGATTAATTGGTCTATTCAATATATTAGTGGAACAATTGCTTTCTTTTTGTTTAGGTTGTGGTTTAAGTTAGAACAGATAATCAAGAGAAGACTTTTTAATTTCAAGCAAATACTTTGGAATTGGAGGTTTGGCAGGGGCACATATAAAGATTGGGTCGTGGAATTACTAACCCAACAACAATTGTGCTAAACATTGGGTACCTCTTCTTAGCCCGTAAGTTCCCTATTTTGGCGATGTTATATTTACCACTATCGCATTCTATTATAGATGTTTCAATTCAAGTTTGTTGAGTTTTATCAAAATTGAGGTATTGTGTGGATTTGGAATTGCATTTCTTTTGCTTTAACTAGAGCTCATATCACAACATTCAAGCTAGAGAATTTTTTTTTTTTGTTTGAGGAAGACAATAAATTTGAAAGACTCCATCTTCCAAAAGACATGAAATTTTTTTCAATGGGACTACCAAAAGATTTTAGTCAAATGCCTATAGTTTTAAAACACATGCTTAATTGTCTATGTTGCTTCAATTTTGGACTTATTTTCTAGCAATTCTACATGGAGTTGGATATTACAATCATTTGGAATTATGTAGTTGTGTGTGTCGTGGGTGTCTAAGTCTTGCTATGAACTGTTACATAGATAAAGTTGAATTAGACTGTACAACGAGTATTAGTATGTTTTTGCATTAGTTTGTACATGGATGTTTTAAGGGATGACCATGCAATGGTGGTGTGTTTGAAATTTGGGATTGTGTTTTCTTTAATTATAAAAACACATGTCATTGAATCGTTGCACCAAAAGATACACAACCAGCAATTTAACCAACACTGAGTCATTGCACTGCCATTACCGTGGTGTTAACCCGTGCCTAAAGAAAATATGCTCACACACGGACAACACTTGCACCCAATTATTTAAATTTGTGCCAATTAATTACCCTCATGCATTTCCCCCCATTAGTTTCCCAAAATTGAAATTGATACATTCCCTCTAAATAATTACATGAAAATTTCCTCTCCTTCATGCATTTTGAGATTTGGGATTGACCCTATTTTCTAGGCACAATTAATATTGACTAAATCATTGTGAAATTGAAAACCCTAAATTTTTTGAAGTAGTTTTGAAAATCCTAGAATTTTTTAGTTTTATATTATGCTTAGTTAGGGTTTGAAAACCCACACTATGGGTTTGTTTTACTTATTGAATTTTTATTGTCACTTGATTGCTTTTAGAGTAGAGCAATGTGTGTTAGCTTGGAAAGAGTGAAATTTTAGGTTGCAAAAATTCCCAATTTATTTGCGTTATGTTATGGATTAGTTTTCAAGTTGATTAATGTGGGTCTACTTGATTACCTAATCTCATGTCATAGATTCGTTTAAAGTTGATTGGTGTGGGTCTGTTTAGATTAGTTTAATGGTTGGAACGATTGTATGTTCACTTTTCTCTTTGGATGGTTTGTTTGCTTTTCTCTTTGGGTGGTTTGTTCGCTTTTCTCTTTCTACTAAATCTGCTTCAGAAATCTAATAATGAGAAGTATTGCAAATTACCAAGGCACATTGCATTTTATACGTTACATCATAGTCCTTTATTATTTATTGTGACTATTTGCATCATATACGTGTAAGTGTTCACAATGCAGATGTACGTGTATGTCTAAGTTTCTCGGTGTTAATTTTTTAAGTTGTTTAAAAATGGTCCATGTTATGCACGATGAGCAATGTTAATCAAACATTAACTAAGTTGGTGCATAGAACTCGCGTAAAATTATTTTAAAACTATTAAAGCTTAAAGCAGCTTTGTCCAACCCCATATCCCAGCATCACAAATATTATTTTGGTATAAAAATGTGTTATGTTATCAATTGGGAGACTTATCATTACTAAGATTAGGTTTTCATTGTCTTTTTGAATCTTCAAATAATTGTGTTTTCATACTCATTAATTTTATTGTGGTCTTTATATATTTGGTGTCGATGTCGATGTCGTGGGTTTGACAAAATGAGAAAACTTCTCAAATTGTCGAAAGAAAAGAAAATTGTCATCCAATTCTTTATTGAAGTCATAAGTTTGTTTAAATAAGCATGGATGAATAGAAACATGATTTTGGAACATACCAATGAATTATCTTCTTTTTTTTTTGAATGTATGAATTTTTTTGTTACGTAGAGTCGTTTAAAGTTTGTTCTGTTATTTACCATAGTTAGTCACTACTAGAGGTTTGTTTAATTAGATACTTATGGTAATATTTTTCACCCATTTTATTACAAACGAGTGAAGACTTAGAGAAAACTGTAAAATGAATTTCTTTTCTCCTATTTTATTATTACTTCTTACCTATATAGATATCGAAGTACTTATATTTTAATTTTTTTTGCATATTTATAAGTCCAATTGCTTTGAAAAAATCGTATAGATGTTGTCATTCATGAAGAACGTAATCTTAATTGTNCAATTATGAAATCAGATGTAATTCATAAATTGAATTGAAAATTACCAGGTTGTGATTCAAAAGTTCGACCAGTAAATGTGCACGTCCCAGGAGGAAAGTCGGGCAAACTGAAAAGCTTACTCTTATTCACTGCTGCTCTTAGTTGCTTCCACCTCTTTGCCATGATATTGTAACCATATTCGAAGAAAGGTTCAGTTTCTTTAGAGTTGTCAACATGGTCATAGCTTTCAGACACAGCTTGTAAAATCTTTGCTGCCCGGAGCTGTGAATCTCTGGACACTCCAATGGTGTTGAGCTCTATGAAATTAATCATTTTTTTGGCAATTTCTCGATCTTTGACAAGAGCCCATCTGTGATATGTTTAATGAGAGAAAAATTTAGAAATATAGGCAAGCAATAGATTAATATGGAAGCTTTGTTGATTAGTTGAACTAAAAGTCGTATAAGGGATTGGTCTCGCCCTTCATTTCGTCACTAACATCAATTTCAACTGCCAAGTTCAAGGCATCAAAAGTCGTCCTCTCCCTCATCCAACTCATCGGATACTATAACAGCTATTAGGATTGGGATGCGAATAATCAATCTGCCTTGCATATTGATTATCGGAGAAGGCCTTGACCCCCGAGCCTTCCCAAAGGCTATGTGAAACTCTATAGAGGCATATATCTTCCTAAAAAAACCAGAGAGGCGATAATGAATGATCGAGTCATATTTGGGGATCTATATCATAACATGAGTTGGAAGGCTCTTCCGTAAGAGAGAGCCAAGAGATAGAGCAGAAATCCAAGAGAATCACTAGAGATAAAGGAGTAGAACTCCTAGTGCTGAAGGCTTCCACTCTATCTATATTGTTTGGGCATCCCCTTGACCGAAGGAGTCCTGAAAAAGGTTGAATTTGCTGTAATGCAAAGAAAATTCCCACGATTATACCACCAAATAAATCATTCTTGATTTCTATGTCCAAACAAATAATCAAGTAATTCAAATCACTGATTTAACAACCAGAAGAAATATATCAAAACTCTAATAGTAAAGTCATTTTTCCGACAAGCATAATTATTGATTATTAGCTTACCCTAAACGAATCCCAGCATGGCCAGTGCTTTTGGAGACTGTGAACAGCATGATGTCGTGATCTGCAGGAAAAGATATTGGAGTATATTGTGGCCAATAGTAAGCAAGGTCATGAACCAATAATCCTTTAGTTCGACGGACCACAGGTTCCCTTGTAAAGCCATCAGGATTATTAGGGGAAGTTACAAGTTCAATGTAGGGACCATCTTTACTGAACTCGTAAGCATCACCCGCCCATTTATAAAGCGCAGACTTTAGGTAGTCGGTCAACAACGGGTACGACTGCAAGCAATTAGCAAACTCAATGGCCAGCCCTTACAATGTTACAGTTTACACAAAAGTACTCATTACTATTGGTTAAAATATCATGTGATAAACATTCTGAAGAATGTAGACAAGATAAGCTAGATAAGCAGGGTTAGCACTGGTCACTAGGTTATTTGAAACATGAACTGAAGTGGAATTCTCAAACTTTACACTGATTATTCGGATTTCAGAATCTTATTCTCTGTTGAGGTATAAAAATTAAAGTTACACACTCTTTCTAACAGCTTAAGCTTTTGGAATAGATGGTTGTTTAACATTCTGCAACCATCGTATTACTCCTGTAGGTCAAGTTTTGATGATCTCAGCCTTGTCAGGAGTTTTGATAAAATTAAAGAAATCTCTGTAGTGGAAAAAATTGAGGCAACAAAAAGGTATACTCATGGAAATGGGACACAACTACAAATGCACAAAGCAAATCTGCATTTTTTACAAACATAGAACAATGACTTCCAAGTTCACTGTTCACCATATCAGAACGCTATTGAACTCTTGCATACTAGAGAAGACTGTTCATGCCCAAGAACGGTGACCATAAATGGTCATATCAATTTGCAACAATTTAATTATCTTCAATGTAAGGTNTCATGGAAATGGGACACAACTACAAATGCACAAAGCAAATCTGCATTTTTTACAAGCATAGAACAATGACTTCCAAGTTCACTGTTCACCATATAGACCACCATATCGGAACGCTATTGAACTCTTGCATACTAGAGAAGACTGTTCATGCCCAAGAACAGTGACCATAAATGGTCATATCAATTTGCAACAATTTAATTATCTTCAATGTAAGGTAGATTGACTTTATAGCTCCTTCAATGTAAGGGAGGTTGACTTTATGGGTTTCTTCCCCTAATTTTATAAGTGTGGAAGTACAAAGAATTGAGGAATCACTTTACAAACAAAAAAAATCCTTGTGTAACCACTTCAGAGTTAGATTTATGTTTCATTCCCAATTGACGACTACAAACACGTACTCGAGTGTGTGTGCATGAAAGAGAGCGCCGGGTGGAAGGGGGAACCAAAGAAAGAAAACAAAAAGACATAAATGCATCGACAACTCAACCACAGCAAAGATTATAAAAACATGATATTGCACGATAGTGATAAAATATTAAAATACCACCACAAAGCCGCAGACCACTTTCTATATCTAAGGGGTTGCAAATATAGCAAGTAATTGGTTCTGTGATCTTTCAGATAAACCACTGTTGTGTTAGCACATAATGTGTCTTCTATCAAAAGAAATACCAGAAGAGGACAAATGTACATATACACAATTAAACATGCCTGCCACGTTACGTGGTTAATGAATACTAACCATTATGGTAGCAAACTGCAATGTTTATCAGTTATAGGGTTGACTTTGTTTGGATTCTCTGTCAAGTATATCAGGGTATCAGGTATTTACAGTTAAAAAGATAGAAGTGTTGTTTTGATTCATTAGATGTAGAACCAAAAACGACATATTTGCAGATATGCAATAAAGCATGCCTGCCATGTTATGCTGTTAAATGAATATTAAACACTATTACAGAAGCCGCAATGTTTATTAGTTATAGAGGTTTTTTTTTGGATTCCCTGGCAAGTATATAACTAAGTTCCAAGAATTTGTACTTGAAAAGATATAATTGTTGTTATCGAATCAAACGTTAGACATAGATCTCACCGAGTAGAATGGGGCAGCAGATACCACATTCATGGGCTCAGATGCATTCGGTGGAGAGAGAGCATATAGTACAGCCTGAAAGAGTTGTGTAGAACCTGTCCCAACCACAATGTGGTGGTCTTCAGTAATTGCGTTTCCAACAAGTTTGTGTAGTCTAACCACTGAATTTGCAAATTCTGGTTCCAAAAACCAGCAAAGGTTTCTGACATCAGAAAAATAACTTATAGATTGGTGACCAGATATAACAATTGTGCTCTTTTCCCCCATCTTGTGCCAAAACCTCTCATACATTGTTGGGTCGCCACTGCATTGATTCACGTACAAAATTAGAAACTTCTATAATGTCACCAATTGAAAATACAAAATCATCATGCCAGATTCTCAAAAACCAGAACCTATCTCCACAAATGTTTATGAATATGTTTGTTGTTTTCAAGGAAGCATCCTCTCCATGACCAAGACAAATGTATAGTTCAACAGTTCATGGGATGTTGAGTTTTACCTCATGCATGAAAGATTAAGACACGCACGTTGAAGTAAAATCAAACCGTGTGGTCATGTATAAAAAAATTACCTATGAATTGAAATCTTAGCATTTATGGAGGTAGAGTGAATCGCAAAATGTGGTAAATATGGTATAGCACATCACCTTTATCTTTTGTTTCCTTTTTGGTAGGGGAGGGGGCGTGAAACGACGCTAATGGCGTGCGAGATGGCCCATCAGCCACCTGAACTGTCTCATAGTCATAGAGGCAAGGTTGTGTTGGCAAACATGGTCCCTCATGGGGACAATGGTCCTAATCTTTCCATATGGTCAGAGAAACATGCAGGCATATACTATTGTATGTATGCTACTAGGTACTTGAGGTTAATTGTAAAAACTGTCACAGCATTAAGATTCAATATTGGATGGAGGCCAGGCATGGAAACAGCAATTCTGGGCCATGCTCTATCAGAGTATCAAATGATTGGATTCATGACTAGTAAATGTCAGATCCAAATTGCATTCTTTGTAATTGGTAACACAGGCATGACCCACAAAACACTTATAACCAAGCATCCCACCCACCCAACTTTCCCTATGATGCTAAAGGGTGGTCCTAAAATTATACAAAAAGGAAAGGTAGCTTGGTGCATGAATCTTCCATCATTGCAAGGTCCGGAGGAATTTAGATGTATCAACCTCACACTGCATGCCAAAAAAACTATTTTCATGGCTCAAACCGTGACGTCTAAGTAACAATGCAATAACCTCATCGTTGTGTCAAAACACGCAAAAAGTGGCCATAAAATGCAACTCACAATGGAGAGGGTCCAACTTTATTTTTGAAGATCTCCTCAAAGGACAAAAGGGAGTCTTTAATCTTTATGCAGCATCCGCACAAAACCAAGAAGACCCACAAACAAGTATAGTGTAATCAATTTTTTAAGTAGCCCAAAAGTGCCTTTTGCTAATATGGTGGCATTGGAATTCAAATCTTCTTTTTTAACTAAAACTATTTGAGTGGTTTGAGGTCGGCCAAAAAAGTACAGAAGAATATGCTGGTGCTGGTCAATGGGAATCGAGGACCACCACCACCACCACCAGTGGTGCATGTTAGTCTCTAACAGTAAAANCGAATATTAAACACGATTACAGAAGCCGCAATGTTTATTAGTTATAGAGGTTTTTTTTTGGATTCCCTGGCATGTATATAACTAAGTTCCAAGAATTTGTACTTGAAAAGATATAATTGTTGTTATCGAATCAAACGTTAGACATAGATCTCACCGAGTAGAATGGGGCAGCAGATACCACATTCATGGGCTCAGATGCATTCGGTGGAGAGAGAGCATATAGTACAGCCTGAAAGAGTTGTGTAGAACCTGTCCCAACCACAATGTGGTGGTCTTCAGTAATTGCGTTTCCAACAAGTTTGTGTAGTCTAACCACTGAATTTGCAAATTCTGGTTCCAAAAACCAGCAAAGGTTTCTGACATCAGAAAAATAACTTATAGATTGGTGACCAGATATAACAATTGTGCTCTTTTCCCCCATCTTGTGCCAAAACCTCTCATACATTGTTGGGTCGCCACTGCATTGATTCACGTACAAAATTAGAAACTTCTATAATGTCACCAATTGAAAATACAAAATCATCATGCCAGATTCTCAAAAACCAGAACCTATCTCCACAAATGTTTATGAATATGTTTGTTGTTTTCAAGGAAGCATCCTCTCCATGACCAAGACAAATGTATAGTTCAACAGTTCATGGGATGTTGAGTTTTACCTCATGCATGAAAGATTAAGACACGCACGTTGAAGTAAAATCAAACCGTGTGGTCATGTATAAAAAAATTACCTATGAATTGAAATCTTAGCATTTATGGAGGTAGAGTGAATCGCAAAATGTGGTAAATATGGTATAGCACATCACCTTTATCTTTTGTTTCCTTTTTGGTAGGGGAGGGGGCGTGAAACGACGCTAATGGCGTGCGAGATGGCCCATCAGCCACCTGAACTGTCTCATAGTCATAGAGGCAAGGTTGTGTTGGCAAACATGGTCCCTCATGGGGACAATGGTCCTAATCTTTCCATATGGTCAGAGAAACATGCAGGCATATACTATTGTATGTATGCTACTAGGTACTTGAGGTTAATTGTAAAAACTGTCACAGCATTAAGATTCAATATTGGATGGAGGCCAGGCATGGAAACAGCAATTCTGGGCCATGCTCTATCAGAGTATCAAATGATTGGATTCATGACTAGTAAATGTCAGATCCAAATTGCATTCTTTGTAATTGGTAACACAGGCATGACCCACAAAACACTTATAACCAAGCATCCCACCCACCCAACTTTCCCTATGATGCTAAAGGGTGGTCCTAAAATTATACAAAAAGGAAAGGTAGCTTGGTGCATGAATCTTCCATCATTGCAAGGTCCGGAGGAATTTAGATGTATCAACCTCACACTGCATGCCAAAAAAACTATTTTCATGGCTCAAACCGTGACGTCTAAGTAACAATGCAATAACCTCATCGTTGTGTCAAAACACGCAAAAAGTGGCCATAAAATGCAACTCACAATGGAGAGGGTCCAACTTTATTTTTGAAGATCTCCTCAAAGGACAAAAGGGAGTCTTTAATCTTTATGCAGCATCCGCACAAAACCAAGAAGACCCACAAACAAGTATAGTGTAATCAATTTTTTAAGTAGCCCAAAAGTGCCTTTTGCTAATATGGTGGCATTGGAATTCAAATCTTCTTTTTTAACTAAAACTATTTGAGTGGTTTGAGGTCGGCCAAAAAAGTACAGAAGAATATGCTGGTGCTGGTCAATGGGAATCGAGGACCACCACCACCACCACCAGTGGTGCATGTTAGTCTCTAACAGTAAAACCTAACTTTGGGAACAGAGACCATGAGAGAGCAGTAGTCAAGTACGAAGAAAGGCTCACCCCCCACCACTCTAACATGCACCATGGGATTCACAAGATTCACAATCAACAAAGGTCCGTCTTTGTCTCTCATCTGACAAAAAGGTAACCCTCCAAGCGCACGTTAGGGAATCGTTTCACCATGGTATACTAATCATCAGACTCAAACAGAATCTATATACAGCGAAAAAAGAAAAAAAAGACTCAAACAAACATGACCTAAGCTCCGTTTAAGTTATACAGATACTTAATATCACTTGTATCCCTGTGATTTTGGAAATTTCGTGAAGCCCCCTCCTTCATCAGCATAAATTGTCAGCACTAGGCGATAGCCTCTAAATAAAGGGTAATTCAAGTTGTAACAGGAAGAGTTATAAATTTAGATATTTTGAATTCGAATGTTAATAATTGAATACCTTAATTCTGACTTCAATAACCTGTCTTTATCCGCATCGAATTAAAAAAAAAATTAATCGAAATACGCATAAACTTACCCAAACACTTGATCATTGGACTAAAAAAAAAAAAAAGAAGCTAACCTCTAGGGATTACCACTCTTCCCCCAATCAATTAACTGTATAACTACAGGAGCAAATTAGTTTAGACTCATTTCAATTAAAAATAAAAAACAATCTATGTTAACATAAAAATATAAAAACAGCAGGGGGGGGAAGTGATATATCAAAAAAAATTCAATGGATGTTTGTGATATTTTCAAGTAAACACAGTCACACTTACTGGTCGAGATCGATGACACCGTCTCCGCCATTTTGAAGTTCCTTTTTAACATTTGAAGTCACCAGACGTGATTTCTTGCTATCATGCGCCTCTTTCTTGTCCTGGTTCTCCAAACAAAGCCCAGAAACGCTCTTTTCCCCAACATACACCACCCTAGAGATCAAACCCACGTTCAAAGCCAAAGACAACACCAACAAATGCTTGAGAGTAAAACCCATCAACATCTTTTGATCCTTCATCTCTCAAGAACACCAAAAATCTGATCAGAAATTGAAGAAAAAAAGACCCTTTTGAGAGATATTCTTCTGTGAATGGCAATGCAATAGAACCCAAAGCCCTCTTTTTATAGCAAAACCACCCCAAGATGAACCCAAAAGTTTAGGTTGCAATATTGGTTGCTACTGACCCTTTTGTGCTTCACAGCTTGAGATGTTCCTCCAGCTTTGGGACCTCGTGTCAAAAAAGTCTGAGATTCAAACAGAACATTATGGGTAAATGTTAGAAACCAGGGAATCTTTCTCTCTCTGGTCAAACAGAAAACTAAGGGTATTTTATTTCATGAGTTTTAAATACAGATTAGGCCAATCGATTTTAACTTTAACTTAACAAGGCATAAATGAAGTTTGTTTGTTTCTAGTTTTCTACAGAAGTGAAGGGGTAGAAAGTTTGTACATACATACATACCATTAAATCTTGAAATCACCATGGTTGTGAATCTTTTGACAGCTCAAAAGGTTGGAGTTGAGGGGCTCGAAAGACGACGCAGACGAATCCGGATACATTGGCATTTCTGAGGAAACAAACAAGTATGGTGGACTTGTGGAATCTAAAATGCGCCCGAAGGGTATGGAGGGTCTGCCAAGAAAAATCACCTCCGACAGAAGATTTTCGTCAAAAACCAAGATATCACGCAGACGATTTTCCAGGAAAATTTCAGGTTTCCGATGCAAGTCAAAGTATATTCACTGTTCCATCTCTCTCTCTCTCTCTCTCTCTCTCTCTCTCTCTCTCTCTCGACGTATATAAGTGTGTGTCTGTGTGTATCTGGGAGTGCGAAGGAAAAGAGGTAGCTTTGCTGGTTCTGTCTGTGGGGAACTCTATCTCTCTCTCTCTCTCTGCCCCTTCGTGCACTGCTGAGTTCCCGGTTCAACTTTTTTTTTTTTTTTTTTTCGGTATTTTTTTCTCTTTTGTTCTCAGCTTTCATCTTTTTAAAGCAATTTTTTAATGGACTAATGGAGTTCCTATTTGGGAATAGGCCAGCCACTAAAAGTTAAGTTAAACACGGCGTATGTAACTCATGGACTTGACTAAGCTACCCAATAATAAAATTTAATTTGTTTATGGATGATTTATTTTTTTTTTATTATTTTTGTGGTTTCTTTATCACTGTTTTACCAATTATTTTTATCATTTTTGTGAGTGACTGATTTATTATTTTTATTGGTATTTTTAAACTATTTTTATTTTATTTTATTTTACTATAACAATAATAAAAATACTCATAACAATATAAAAATATCCACAAAAATAATAAATATTAATATAATTAGCGATTTTTTCCCCGTACCATATACAACTCCTTAACTTATTTGATACTCTTTATTTTCAGGAATTTGTATGACAAAGAGTGTGAAGTTGAGCAATTCTCCTGATTTCCTAATATAATTTACTAAATACTAATAAATTCATTTAGTCAAGAATTATATTGTGTTTAGAATTAATGATTTTACATGTATAAATTCAAAAAAAAATATATGTGATTAAAAAGGTTTTTTCTTTTTATTGCATGCAGATCAACTTTTTCTTTAGTTATTTTGACGTAATATTTACTCATTCGCTCAACTATTATTTTGGCGGGGGATCCTACTCTGCATTCTGCGGAGATTAATGTCACAAGAAAAACAAAAACTGATTGTCAAAGTCTCAATAAAAAGTGAGAGGGAAAATTTCAACCATACTCCCCGTAGTTTATCTTATATTTAAAGACATTCTTTTTATTTTTTGAAGTTTCACCGACACCCATATCAGATTAAAAATATTAACTAAAATATAATTTTACTAAATTACTCATGATATATTTGAGAACAAACTCCATCTACACCCCCTCTAGATAAGGATATCTATAGTGAGACTCCCTCTATTTTCTATTTTTTTTTACGTATTAAAATTTAGATCTATTAAAATTCGATTCAAGCTAATTAAAATTTGAGCCGATTAAAAATTTTATTTTTATTAAAATTTGAGCTAATTAAAATTGTATTTGTGTCAATTAAAAATTATTTTTAATTAATTTAAATCAAATTTTAATCAACTCGTATTGAATTTTAATCAACCCAAACTTTAATACATAAAAAAATAAAAATTTAATTGATTCAAATTTTAATAAATCGAATTTTAATTGACATAAATTTTAATAACTAAAAAAATATAAATTTTAATCGACTCAAAAGCGAATTTTAATAAGAGCTAACAACGCGCAGAGTTCAAATCAACTCAAATTTTAATACATAAAAAATAAATTTTAATATACACGAATTTTAATATGTTAAAAAAATAAAATTTAATCAACTTCAATCGAATTTTAATTTGTTCAAATTTTAATATGTAGAAAAATATATTTTAATTAACTCCAATTTTAATAAAATTGTATGTAGAAAAATTACTTGAGGTTTATGTAGCAACATTTTTTGTATTTTAGCTGAATTTTTTTTGTTAGAAATGATAGTTTAAAGGTAGGGAGTGTTAGTGATGTNTTATGTAGAAAAATTACTTAAGGTTTATGTAGAGGCATTTTTTGTATTTTAGCTGAATTTTTTTTGTTAGAAATGATAGTTTAATGGTAGGGAGTGTTAGTGATGTTTAAATATAAACTAAAACGGATATCAGTAATATTTTTTTATAATAGAGGGAGTGTCCTTAAATATATAGTAAATTAGAAGGGTGTGATTGAAATTTTTTTCAAAGTAGAATTAGTTGACATATTGGGTAATACATGTTCGAAGACGGTGCAATATAAATAGTTTTAACAGAAATATTAGTGGTCGTTGGATGAATCTATTTAAGATCGTTAAATAAACTTATTAAAATATATCATATTTTATATTATAGATCTTTTTTTGTTAAAGTAAAATTTTGGGTTAATCTCATTTTGCACCCCGAAAAGATTGTTCGAATCTCAATTTGTATCCTCAAAGATCAAAAATCTCAATTTACACCCTCAAAGATAGAAATTTGTATCAATGTCCACCCCCAAAGATCAAAAATCTCAATTTGCACCCTCAAAGATAGAAATTTGTATCAATGTGCATCCCCAAAGATAAAAAATCTCAATTTGCACCTTCAAATATAGAAATTTGTATCAATGTACACCTAAAATTAAATTAATAAATTATACTTTGATCCCCTCATGTTTGTCATTTAATCATTTGAACTCCTTCACATTTAGAATATTCCCCTTACATCTCATGACGTTTATGCATGTGTAACACATAACCACTTTTCGTTGATATATATTAATATAATCGTTAAAAAATATGATTTTATCCTAATATAAAATTATAATTTTATATTACCTTTTATTTTGTGGATTCGATATACTCTAAAGTTGAAAATCAAACTTACCATTTGAATGTCTAATAAAATGTAAATATTTATATAAAAGGTAATATAAAAAATATTATATAAATATTTATATTTTATTAGACATTCAAATGGTAAACTAGATTTTGAACTTTATAGTATATTGAACCTATAAAATAAAGGGTAATATGAAATTATAATTTTTTATTAGGATAAAATTATATTTTTTAATGGTTATATTAATAGATATCAATGAAAATGGATTACGTGTTATACGTGCACAAATGTCATAAGATGTAAGAGTAATATTCTAAATGTGTAGATGTCTAAATGATTAACTGACAAATATGAGGGGATTTAGGTATAATTTATCAATTTAATTTTAGGTGCACATTGATACAAATTTCTATCTTTGAGGGTGCAAATTGAGATTTTTTATCTTTGGGGTACACATTGATATAAATTTCTATCTGAGGATGCAAATTGAGATTTTTGATCTTTGGGGGTGCACATTGATACAAATTTCTATCTTTGAGGGTGTAAATTGAGATTTTTAATCTTTGAGGGTGTAAATTGAGATTCGAACAATCTTTCGGGGTGTAAAATGAGATTAATCCTAAAATTTTGATACCACCGAGGTGCTACTCTAATTCGTTTTGAAAAATGTTATTTGAACCTAATTTGGGGACCTAATTCAATACAACCATTGGATTGGTTGTGAGTTCTATTTAACCTTGGAACTCATAATTAATTCAATAATTGCATTAAAAACACATCATTAAGCTCTCAAATTAGATCCCCAAATAAGGTCCCTATAGCATTGCTCATTGGTTTTAATAGACGGTTAAAGTCATGTCTTCCTCTTGTGGTCATGGGTTTGAACCCACTTACGATAATAGCTCTTATGAACTAGATATTGTTGAAAGAGCTGAATGTTTAAATTATTCTCGATTATGCTGTCTACAACAAAAGATAATCTTAAGATAACGTCTTAATGGTTTATTGTAATAATTGTATTTTCAACTCTACGACAATTCAAACATAGTTTAGGTAACATGTGACATGTTTCTTTTTTCTTTTTGGTCATGAACATGTGACATGTTTGAGTAAGCACGTTTTAGTGGAAAACCAGATGATCAAACATTGCACTTACACTAATTTGGTCAAAAATCAAAGAAACACAGGAAATGGATTGTTCAAACCTGCAAGACAACACATTCAGTGAAAAGGATGTCAGTGTCTTCGATGATATTATTAAAATCTGGTCAAAAATTTAAAAATACAGAAAATTTATATAAAAAAATAGTTTATAATTTAAATTTCAAAAGATAAACAAAATAATTTTTATTATTCGCGATTGAAATTGCTTTAAATTTTACTTTAAAGTTATGGCTAATATTAAGACCCTAAATTTAATAAAAAAAATAGGTCCCTAAAGGTGTATTTGAAGTGATTTTTTTAAAAGTATTCCTAAAAATTATTTTTCATAAGTGCTTTAAAAAAAATAATAGTGTTTGAAATCACTTCACCACTACCTCTACCCCCACCACCACTGCCACTGTAGTCGTCCTCGTCGTCGCTACCACCGCCAACTCCTGCCGTCGCCACCACCACCACCACCGCCGCCGCCGCTACGGTCATTGCCACCTACTACAACCAT